ATCGGGACACGTGGGGAAATGCCGGGGCAAAAAAGAAGACAAAGTGACCATCTCCGTAAATTTACCCAATATCAAGAGCAAAAGAACTCGAGAAATGGCTCAGATTTACCCATTATCAAGATGACAAGCGCAACTTAATTTTACCTAGAGCTTAATTTAATTTCTCTCCTCTCTAATGGGAATTGAACTGACCATAGAACTGGTTGCTTGTCTTTGGTACAAGCCATCCTAGTTAAGCGACAAAATGAACAAAATATCCCAAGTACCAGCTCATAAGGTGCTAAAGTGCGAAGTTCCCTAATAGAAACTTGATTCTTCTTCTGACCACTCAAGAGTAGTACAAAACAAAAAAAGTCACAAGGCATAGTTAGGGAAGGGGAGAAGCGGTGGCACACTAAACCGGGGTTCCATATCATCTCAGCTCCACAAATATCACGTATCAAAATGATTGATTAGGTTGATATATGCAAGATATTCAAGATATTGTTTTAACAAACAAAACAAATGGTTTTAACAGGCAGTTTGACATGTACCAAACTAGTAACATACATGAGGTGCTATACTAGTCAGCGCTTTTACAAAAATATCCAAATTATTGCTAAGAAATAAGACATTGTTTCAATATGTAGAAGCATATATACCATTTTATGTTAGAGAAAGACATACAACCAATAGAAAGACATAACAGCAGTCATAAACGTATAATCCATTTGTCCAAAAATTGAATTACACCAACCAGATCAATGTAATGATTTTGTTTGGGTTAAAGAATTAATAAGTGCTACCCCTAGCTGCTACAATTTGAATAAGCTGCTGCTACCATTTGAGCCTGACACATTCTTTACCTCAAAGACAGAGTAACTGCTAATGCATGGTCTGAATTTTTAGACGTGAGCAACATATACGCAACTGTATTTTCAATTCCACTACGAACCACATATCAATCTCACTAGATCTCTTTTTAATTTAATCCTAACACAACCAGACATGACATAGAAATATTAACTTTTAATGCATGGTGTTGTATAATACTTAAGTTGGAGAGCAAAATATTCAGAAAGGCAGCTCATGGGAAAATGGCACAACAATGAACTCAAGATGGAAACAAAATGCTAGTGCCGCGAATGATTCTGGTGACTGGGGAGGCTGGGTAGTGGAGTTGGAGCTGCTGCAAAGCCAGCAGATCAAGATAATTCATGGGAAGTGCATGCTAAGGTGCCGGACAATTCCACTGATTGGGGAGGCTGGAGTAGTGGAGGATCCAGTTGGGGTGAGAAAGATAAGATGGAGTCTAATGCAGGATCCAGTTGGGGTGAGAAAGATAAGATGGAGTCTAATGAGCATCTGAAAGTCCCAAAAGAATCAGACACATGGAGTGATCTGCCACAGAAGACTCCTGGGGTAATCTGGCTGCAACACCAGTGGGCAATTCAGATGCTCCTAACTCAAGATAGTGTCTGATAGCAACTACCAACTCAAGATAGAGCTATTCACTTAAATCATTTGGGTCATCTCATATTGGCAAATTCCCTGAATGCCTAGTATGTCTGGCTGGGTTCACCAATACCATCTTTGTTGACTACAATCACATAGTGTGCTCTATCTGTTGCCTATAGATTGTTGACTACAAAAATAATTTAATATTGCACCTAGTAGGCACTTAAAATAGAGAAGAAAAAATAGCATGAACATCAACTAAGAGCAAAAATGAAGTGCACAGAGTAATCTTACATGTCACTTTCATCTTCCTTAAGCACAACAGGGTATGTCTGTTTTTTTATCAACAATGGCATACAAAAAAAATAAGGACTAACATCAAGGCAGGTGCTATCTCTACATACCATGATATAACTTGAATGTGATAGTGCATACTAAGAGAATTGTACAGTAAAAATCAGTTTTGTAACTCGGGTCTTGATTTGTAGTGTTGCACACAGTAAAAAAGGTGGAATTAGAAAGAAGCATACTCCTAATACACTAAAGTCTATATGCAGTGCTATGTAAAACACTAAAACAGTCATATATGGTCGATTACCTGAAACAACATCAAGGCAGCAGTAGTGCAAAAAATCAAGACTAGTCGTTTAACAAAATTCAGTCCACAACCAGCAGCTTTAGCAATGTCAAAGTAAATTTAATCCATCAATAAACTTAGAAACAACTGTGCTTTAGCAAAGTGGAGATAGCTTAGTACCTTACATGGGATTAGATCACCTGTTCTGAATACACATAACCAAATAGCTTAGATTAGGGTTAGTTCTCAAATTTGCACAAAAGGGAAGAGAAGGAACATGCATACCTGGCTTGTGTTGTGGGTGCTTGTCGTTGGCAAAGGGCTCACCTCGGCCCTAATTGGAAGGAGGTTGCACTTGAGCCAGAATCGCCTCGATGTGGTTGCGCTTGGAGCTGCAGATCTGGACGTCGGGCTGAGAAGGGGCTCCAGATCCACCATGCTCGGGAGGGCCCGCACGTCGTGAGGGCTATGCTCGGGAGGGGCAGCGCACCATGAGGGATGCGCCCAGGAGGGCCGTGTCCGGGAGGGTGGTGAGCTAGGGGGAGGCGCCCAGAGAGCCACGCCTGGGAGGGGTCGTGCGCTGAGAGGGCCACGCCTGGGAGAGGGACGGCGCGCCTGGATCCGAGAGAGGGAGGGCCGGATCCGGTCGGGTGAAGAAGGGGGAGGGGAAGGGCACCCACCGGGGAAGAAGAAGGGGGAGGGGAGGGGCGCCGGCGGGGGAGAAGAAGGGGGAGGGCGCGGATCTGCTCAGGCGGTGACGACGACGACGGATCCGGATGCGGCCCCGCCTCGTCCTCGAGCCACCAGTGACGCCAGATCTAGCCGCCTGGGGTGCGCCCGCCATGGATTTGGCCGGATCCGGGGGTGAAGGAGAGGGGCCGCGCCGGCCACGTCGATGAAGAGGGAGAGGGAGGAGAGGGAGTGGCGGCGCTGCTCGGGAGGGAGGAGCCCCCGCGCTGAGTCGCAGAGGGAGGGGCGCGCTGAAAGGAGAGAGTGAGGGAGGGGGCGCGGTCTAGTGCGTGAGAGGGTGTTTGGGGGCGCGGCGGCCGGCGGGTTAGGGTTAGGATTTTTTTTTCTGTGTGTGCACATATTTTTTTCTGTGCGTTTTGAAAGAACCGATAGAATAAATTGCATTTTCTGTGAGTGCTGATTTTTTCCGTGTGTGTATTGTCACGCACAGAAAAATTATACGATTTTTCTGTGGGTTTTAGTATTTTTCTATCGGGATATTTTGGAACCGACAGAAAAATCGTAATTTTTCTGTACGTATCGAAAAAAACGCACAGAAAAATTTATCACCCATAGAAAAATGCGAGATTCCAGTAGTGTATGCTCGCATTTTTTTATTTGGAAATCGTTCGGTCGTTGTCTACTCTCCAGAACCGAAAACCCACCCTCCACTCATCGAGGCCACAGTCTCCTACACCGCCGCTGTGTGCCGCAACTGCTCCGCCGCGGTGGCCGCCTGCCTGCCACCATCCTTCCTCTCCACTGGTGGTGCTCGTGCGCTGCAGCTACCGCTGATGCTGGCGGTGCTCGCTCCGCCCATCGCACACGCTGCCCGCCTGGCCGAGGCAAGCCCAGTGCTGGTGGCGCTGGTGGTGGTCGTGGTGCTCGCGCTGCCGCTGGTGCCGGTGGTGCTCACGCGCTACCACTCGTCGCCAGCTCTGATCCTAACAGCTGGATTCGACCGGCCCTAGCCTCCCCATGTTGCAAAACGCATGTTTCAAGTGTTTTAGATGTTTCATAGGTATGTCGCAAGTGTTTCATATAGATGTTACAAAAGTAGATCGGGGATGTTGCATATGTTCCAATAGTTGTACACATATGTTGCAAGGTTTTATTCCTAATGTTTCATCTGTTTTTTTTCAGACATACGATGCAAGTGTGCTTATTTAGATGTTGCATATGTTTCGTGCATATATTGTAAGTGTTTTATCTGGATGTTGTGTATGTTTACAATGGTTTCAAATGTTTTTCTAGTGTTTTTGCAAGTGCTTCAGATGCATGTTTCATCAGTCTTAAGACATATGTTGCAAGTGTTGCATCTGGATGTTTCACAAGTAGATTGTGTGCTGCATCTTCCTCCTCGCCTTCTGTTGCCTCGCCTCATTGTCTCCTTCGTCTCCATCGCCACCAGCGAGGTCCAGCATGACCAAGTTGGACGTAGGGCAGCAGTGGAGGAGCAGGGGCCAGTGTTGGCCTGCAGATGGGGATGGCCTGCGGATGCAGATAGGGCATATCGCTTAGCGAGGCATGAGGCATTTTTATAGGGAAAGAGGCACGAGGCTACGGATGAACGTGACACAGGCTCTCTGGAGCAACGTTCGAACGTGTCCTACGGCCAGACTTCTGGGCTCTAGCCCTTCCGTACTGAATTTTTCCCTATTAGGACTCGTTCAGTTAGGGCATTTTGATGTCAGGAATCGTTCCGGATAACGAAAACTTATATAAATTAAGTAACGGTTCCGGCTGAGAATTATTCCTGGTGTCCATTCTCGAAAATGAACGGGGCCTTATTTGTGTCGAGCGTTACACACATTGAACAGATTAAAGCCACGAGTTTGTATATTGATTCAGGAAATGGTTATGTTCCAGGCTGGCCTTCATCATATCATAGCCGGACGCAGCAGGTGTCAAAGTCAAACCACGCCAGCTACCTGGCAAAGCCGCCGCCTTGTTCAACGTCGTCGTCGATCACCGACACATCTTCACACACGGGTCAACATGTGCAAGCTCATCTGCTTTCTGCGGTGCTGTCCTCCACTCTCTCACTCACGATGCTTCTGCAAACCCTTTTTTTTATAATATCATCAACGAAGAACAAATGTGTGGCTAACGTGTGGATTAGGAACCGATAACATTATAACAATAATCATCATGCCCCTCGTCACCCTAGCCACTCCGATCCATGCATAAATACACGTGCTCCGCACTCGCAATCTTCACCCATCACACACACCACCACTCCACAAGGCCGCCAACAATGGCGTACACGCGGCGTCCGTCTATCCTCCTCTTCCCCCTAGCTCTCGTCCTCCTCTCCCTGCTGGCATCGCCGGGCACGCTGGCGGCCACCGGCCCGGGCGACGTGGCCGTCTTCTGGGGCCGGAACAAGGACGAGGGCACGCTGCGCGAGGCCTGCGACACCGGCACCTACACCACCGTCATCATCTCCTTCCTCCGCGGCTTCGGCGGCCACGGCGGCGGCGCCTACACGCTGGACCTCTCGGGCCACCCGCTCGCCGGCGTCGGCGACGACGTCAAGCACTGCCAGTCGAAAGGCATCCTCGTGCTCCTCTCCATCGGCGGACCCGCCGCGGCCGGCACGGCCGACTACTCCCTCCCGTCCGCGCAGTCGGCGGCGGACCTCGCGGCCTACCTGTGGGACGCCTACCTCGGCGGCGGCGCCCGCCCCGGACTACGCCGCCCGTTCGGCGACGCGGCGCTGGACGGCGTCGACTTCTACATCGACCAGGGCCAGGCTGGCGGCGGCGCGGCCGGGGCCGGCGACCACTACGACGAGCTGGCCAGGCGCCTGTACGCGTACAACAGTCGCTACCGCGGCCGGCTCGGCGTCACGCTGACGGCCACGGTGCGGTGCGCGTACCCGGACCACCCGGGGGTGCAGGCGGCGCTCGCCACGGGGCTCTTCTCCCGCGTCCACGTCCGGCTGTACGGCGACCTCAGGTGCACCTGGTCCGACAGGGAGGCCTGGGAGAAGTGGGCGGCGGCGTTCCCGGCCAGCCGCGTGTTCGTCGGCGTCGTGGCGTCGCCGGAGGCCGACAAGGACGCGTACATGTTCCAGAAGGACCTCTACTACAACGTGCTGCAGTTCGCGCAGAAGGTGCCCAACTATGGAGGACTCATGATCTGGGATAGGTACTACGACAAGATCAACCACTACATCAGCAGCAGCTAATCAATTAAGCTTCCGGTCCACCCGGTTTATATCACCTATAATAAGCTTAATCCTTATTTTTGAACTTTTAAATAAGTACTGTAATGTGTAATGTTATAATGTGATCCACAAATAAAATGGAATAAATGGTCTGTGATTGATATATGAAGAAGACTAGAAGATACAGGCTCCATCTGTTTGTGTTCTTAAGTGTTTATTGTTGTCTTGTGTGGGAGTACAATGACTTGTGAGTTTATTACTAGGTTTGTGCCCGTGCTTACGTGTTTCAAAATCCACACAATCCTATGCATTTTCGAGTGACGTGAAAGAAATGTATTTTCAAAATCCTAACTATCCTATGCGTTTTCCAGCTAACACATGAAAGAAATGTATTTTGTCCACAATGGTTTTTATTTGAGTACAGGCAACTGAAGCACTTTGCATATGGTTATAAATAAACGTGGAGAGCTTGTAGTTCACTTTACTTAACACCTCCTTAGAAGCCAATGATTAAAAGTCTATCATCAACGCCTAACAGCATGATCGCTGGGCTGGCTGGGCTGGCCAGCCCCCTCATATGAGTACTGTTCACCTAAATCAGCCAATAGTACTTCTCTCTCACATAAACGAACTAGCAACGATACGAACCAGCCAACCGAACAGGCTGTAAGTTGATTTATATTACAGTGGAGATGTGACATTTGTGACCTGCAAACCTCTCCGATCCACCTTCAAACTAAAACAATATACAATATATGAGGCAATCTAAGATGCACTGCCATAAACATACATGGTCAAGTAAGTCTTCAAAAAAAAGTAAGTCCATTATGTAATCTGGGATCTTTTACTTGGGCCATGATCAATCTACTAAAAATAGTTGACTTATTCAAAAGTTTTGAATATTGGAGAAATACTATGGTTTTATATATATAATACTCCCTTCGTTCCAAATTAGAAGATGCTTTAGCATTTCTAGATACATTACTTTTGCTATCCATCTAGACATAATGTATATCTAGACATATCACAAAAGTAACGTATCTAGAACAACAAAAAATGTCTTATAATTTAGGATGGAGGAAGTACTTTGGTTTTCAAAAGCTAGTGGGTGCTTGGATGCAACAAATCTTGTAGTCTATAAAGCCATGGTTTTGTCAAAACTATAGTCTTTTTTGGATCATTAGAAACTCCATTTTTTTCTAAACCACTCTTTTGTGTCTCTTTTACTTATAAAACCATAGTTACGTGAAACTATAGTTTTTGAAAACTGCATCATCCAAATAGACCTTTAGTGTTTTTCTTTATATATACTTCCTCTATTCAAAGAAAATAGAAGTCTCACTTTCCCGATGATACAAATAATCCCTAATCTAACTAGATTTATAACAAATAGTATCAACACTGATATATCTTCAAATAAATTTATTAAAAAATATATTACAGAATTAATCTAATGACATTTAATACGGATTGGTAAATATTAATATTTTTATGTATTTGGTCACGATGGTTTTTTACTCCTTAAAAAGCAATACTTCCATTCTTTTTGGACCGAGAAAATAATATTTTTCCTCTTTTGGACTGTGATTACATGATATTTTAAGCTACTTATCTACTCCCTTAATTTCAAATCATAATATATATCTAAGCATGAATTAAACCTATGTATCGAGACTATTATCATAAAAATATCAGTTATTTTCAAATGCATATTCGACAACTTGCTCCAGATTTGAGTTACCGATTCCTCACTGATATTCGATACGGTAATACTACCATTAAGATGTTTGGAAGGGCGAACGCCTTGCTCCACTCACTGTCACATGGGCCGCTCGTCTAAAAAATCAAATCCCCATGGAAGCTTGTCTCCCCACTCCGTGCTCATGCGTCGCGGCTTCACGGCGCCTTGCGACCGTCCCAATCTGCTGTGTCGCCGCCTCCGTCCCTGCGGCACCTTCGTCTCTCACGGAGAGGAGGAATCCTCCACGTCAGGTACGCTGCCAGCTGCCCCACCAACTGCAGCTGCAGCCGGACCCGGTTGCCAGCGCCTCGTCCTCCGCCTCCAAGCTCCATGCTCGTGCTCGACGAGTCTAGCGAGACACCTCTGTCCCACGGCGCGCCGCTGAGCTCCGTCCTTCGCCGTGCCTAGGCCAGGCGGCTAGGAGAGGGAGGCGTCGCTGGCCAGGCCCAAGCCAGGCATAGGCGCAACTGGCCGCGCCACCATCCTCGGCTGTCGGCTAGCCGGAACCGGCCGTCCCTCGCTTTGCACTGCGTCGTAGGTGAAAAATACATGTTTCAAGCGCCTGCTTCAAGTGTTTCAACTGTTTAAGAGACATGTTGCAAGTGTTTCATACGGATGTTGCAAAAGTAGATCGGGATATTGCACATGTTGCAATGGTTGTACACATATGTTGCAAGCTCCTGTTCTCAGTGTTTCATCTGTTTTTTACGACGTATGTTGCAAGTGTGTTTATCTGAATGATGCATATATTTTCACATATATGATGCAAGTGTCTGGATGTAGATGTTTACAATGGTAAGTGTTTTTCAGGTGTTTTTGCAAGTGCTTCAGACGCATGTTTTAAATATTTCATTTGCTTTCGTACGTATGTTGCAATTGTTACATCTGGATGTTTCAAAACTAAATCGAGTGTTGCATCTCCATCCTCGTCTTTCTGCTGTCTCGCCTCAATGTCAGGCGTGGGATGCCGGAGGCGGTGCCTACTGACGTGGGCAGTCACAGCAGGCGAGACGTGGACGGGCACGCACAGGACTCGAGACGGGATACAGCAGCGCGGGCGTCCGAACGGGGACAGTGTTCGGGCGTGCGGAGGCTACGCACTATTTGATACCCTCAGTTCTCGACCCCATTTTTTCGATCACGATCATCAGCATTCCGTGTATTTCGTTTTCATTTTCTGTGTAAAATATGAAACTGAGAGGGACTGGAGTATTTTCCGGACTGTTTTCCATCCGTTACCTAGCAAGGAGCGGAACCGCGCGGGCCCCACCAAACAGCCAGCGTCCAAACGAGAGGCGTCAAACAAAAATAGAAACTGGTTTCTCATTAATCAATAATCATCATTAAAAAAAAGAGCGGCTTTGTCATATCCGTTGCTCGCAGAACGCCCCCACGCCCCACACGCCGCCGCCGGTGACTACCGTTGTGACCGGAGGAAACAGCCACCGTCTCGGCACCTCCCCGTCGATTGCCTCTCTCCAATCTCGATCCGTCTCCTCCCTGCGGAGCCGCTCGGGAGTCCTCCGACCTAGGAGCTCCGTGTCAGATCCGGGTGTGGGCGGGCACCCATGGTGGTGCCTCAGACGCCGTATGCCGTTGGTCTGCGAGATCTAGGGTTCATCCCGTCCGCGCGGGACGAACAACTCGACAGAGAGCATTACCGTAAAAAGGAATATCAACATTGATATATCTTCAAATAGATTTATTACAATAATATATTACAAAATGAATCTGATATATCTTCAAATAGATTTATTACAATAATATATTACAAAACTAATCTAATAACATTTATTGCGGAGTTGTAAATACTAATTAATAGTTTTTATATATTTGGTCAGAGGATGATTTGACTCCCCGAAAAGCAATACTTCCATTCTTTTTTGGATGGAGAAAATAATATTTTCCCTCTTTTGGACTGTGATTATCTAATATTTTAAGCTACTTATCTACTCCCTTAATTTTATATTAAATCATAATATATATATATATCTAAGTTTGTAATAAAAACTATGTATCCCAGCTATTATCGTAAAAATACCAGGTATTTATCAGGTATTTTTAAATGCAAAAAATATTCGACTATGCCCTCCTGATTTGAATTACCGATTCCTGACCGATATTTGATATATCCTCAATTCTCGACCCCATTTTTCCGATCACGGTCAGCATTCCGTATTTCATTTTCAGTTTCTTCGTAAAATACGAAACTGAGAGCGATTGGAGTAGTATTTTTTTTCCGGACTGTTTCCCATCCGTTACTAGGGTCTGTACCGCGCGAGCGGCCCCACCAAACAACCAGCGTCCAAACGAGAGGCGTCAATCAAAAATAGAAAGAGAGACTTTTCCCTGTGTGTCATTATAAAAGATCGTAATCCTTTTTTATGCCTTCTTCTGGGAAAAATTAGCGATCTTGATGCCACTATTCTAACTTTTTGGGTTATCCATGCCACTTCCGTCAGATTCGAGATTCAGGCTTTATATTTCAAACCATTTTTCATAAAAAATATGATGATTTTTCTAAGATATATTAATCATATCAAATCATATTTTTTTTGCGAAATTAAATGAAAAAACTTTTATATGAAAATTATAAATCTCGACGAGATCTACAATTTTCAGTTTTAAAATTTTTTTCATTTAAAGTCGTTAAGATGCTCAAAAAATTAATAACATATCAAAACTTAAGGGCATTTTCGCCTTTTCACACTTGTCGCTTGACGATTTTTGTAGAGTTCGAATATTTGATTTGTTTATGGCATGATGACCAAAAAGTTGCGAGTAATGGCGCTTAAAGACCAGCTAAATTTTTTCTGATTTTCACACACATGAGGATCTTTTATAATCTTTATAATTAAGACAAAAAAGTCTCAAAATAAAACCGGTTTCTCATCATCATTAATTAATTAATTAATTAAAAAAAACCGGCTTTGCCATATCCGTTGCTCGCAAAACGCCCACCCACGCCGCCGCCGCCCGCTGGCGACTACCGTTGCGACGGGGAGGAAGCAGCCACGCCACGCCACCGTCCCGGCGCCTGCCTCTCCCCGATCTCGAACGCGATCGATCCGTCTCCTCCCTTCGGAGCCGCCCGCTCGGGAGCCGTCCTACCTAGGAGCTCCGCGTCAGATCCGGGCGGGCGCCGCGCCCCATGGTGGCGGCTCTGGCGCCGCCGTCCCGGAGCTGGTCCAACGTCGGCGGGAGCGTCATCCCCGGTGAGATCCGTGGCTTGGTTTTAATGCGCGTGGTGGCGTTGTGGATCGAAGCTTCCTAGCTTGTTGCTATTGAAATCGGCGTGTAATTGGTGGGGCAGGGGAATGAATAGGTATGGTGAGATCGGGGATAGGGTAACCTTGGAAGGGGTTTCATTGGTGTGTGCACTGTGTGATGCTTGTGTTGGGGACGACAATGATTCGCTTGTATTCAAACGCGGATCACTGCATTATGTGTGCTTTATATATATATATACCACGTCGTATCTTTTGTGCTATTGCTTTTCAACGAGCACGTTGTTTCAGTTTGAAGTTTATGTTAGTTGAGGAGCTGTGCTGCTAATCAGTTATATACTAGAGAGAATTGAGTTACAAGAGAGAAATATATCAAGTGTTTATTATGCTACAGATGGCGATTCTTTTGCTTGGGCATCATGCGGGCTTGTCTCAAATGACATGTACGACCATATCCCAAATGTCATCTAGCTTAGTGGTATAGATGAAAAGTGTGCCTCAAATTGTGATGCAAATCCCGTTATGGAAATGTCTTTCATTTGATACATGTGAATTTGTATTATAGGGAATACATTAATTTAGTATGAATAGCTTAGTTAGTCTGGGTTGATGAATAGCTTAGTTAGTTATTTTTGGCAGATGAACTGATTGCTGAAAATAACTGAATAGCATACCAGTCGCTATGAATTAGCAGCAAACTCGGCTGTTAAAAGGATTTTGTGTTTGCTATATAGCATGATGCGCACAACTCAAACTCTGAAGTGAGATAATAGCTCATCAATTTGTCTAGGTTGCTGTGGTGCACTGTGAATTCATGACCAAAGTGTAAATGTTGCATCATGTTAATGAGCCTGACCACCCTGGTTCATAGCTGCAGCTGTGTAAAATATTCCTTTCATGCTGTCACTTTCCCAGGCGTCAATGACTCAAAAAACTGTGGAAAGATTCCTCCTTTTATCACCTAACTTTAGATAGTTTGCAAAATATTGTCTAACCGTTGCCAATGTTTTAGACGTTTGGTACATGAATGGACAAACCATACAGGCCCTAACTGCTTGCCTACACTAAACCACTGTTCCCTCCAGATCAAGATAACTTGCAGCAACAAACAATCTATGTTCTGATTTATCAGTGACAAGATGAATTTTGTTCTTGATAACCAGACATATTACTAGAGTTGAAGCAATTTAGTTTTTTGTTTTGGCATTTAGCTGATGACTGGTGCTGTTGCTCTGTTTTCTTTTATCTCATGTATTTATTTATTTTGCAGAACTCCGAGCAAAACACAAAATGGACTTGGAGAATTTGACGTTGACAAAACAACCACTCAGAACATTACATCTTTTCCTGTTAGCCGTGTTACAATACTTGAAAAGATTAGCAAAATATATCCTGAGCAAGGGTGGTTTGTTCTTTCTCTTAATTGTTTTGGTGGTAGCTCCTGGAATCTTACTCGCTATTTCAGATGGCGTGCATAAGAAGGTGTGCTCTCATTCTAATGCTTTTTTTTTTATTAATCTGTGGGATAGGCAACAGAGAGAACTCATTTTAGAAGCTGATGATTTAAGTTTTAACATGCAGGTTCTGGTTTGCATACATTTGTGCTGTATCTAGGTCCTCATATTGCTCTGTTCACTATTAACGCTGTTCAGTGTGGTCGAATTGATTTGAAAATGGCTTCATATGATACCATACAGCTTAAGGTTGGGCCGTCATGGCTTGACAAGAAATGTTCAGAAATTGGACCGCCTGTGTATCCAGCATCAGCTCATTCTGTTAGGATCCCAGTGTTTGACTTACTAACTCAGATACAGCTGGAAGCAGTTCTTTGGGGCATTGGGACTGCACTCGGCGAGCTTCCCCCTTATTTTATATCACGAGCAGGTAAAATTGCAATGCTTTAGTTTCCTTCTAAAATTAAGTAGTGATGTCCTATTATATTTTAGAGTGGGCCAGGCACAGTGGTAGAGCTTCTGCACTTGTGGCCTGGAGGTTCCATGTTCAAACCAGCCTCCTTGCAAAATTGGCAAGGGTAAGGCTATCTAGAAACCTTTCCCCAGACCCCACCTAGTGTGGGAGCTTTCAGCATTGGGTGGTATGCCTCTTTAATGATATTCTGTTATATGCTGTACAACATTTGCTAATCGCTGTACGGAAACAGAAATGTTACTAGGCTCTGTACTGCTTCTAACTGAATTATTTCAACCATAACAGATACATCTTTTGTACATACAGTTTTACTATGTAACATTCTGGTTTTTCACTACATTCATTTAACATTTTCCCCCCTTGAACAAGCAAGAGGGTTACTTATCATTTCATTAAGAGAGGAGAATTCACAGGCGGAAGAAACCCCCCACCCAAGAAAAAAACACAGAGAACACACCTCAAATATCCTTGATCTAGGAGGAGAATGAAGTAGCCCCAGAAAGGCAACCAGCAAGACTAGGGGTGTTAGCTCCCAATAAACGACCTAGCAACCATCTCCTCGAGTGCTTTTGCTCCATCAGAACACCAAAGAGTAAACACACTTGCTATTGCCTGCAGCACCATTGAAATATTCGTGAACACGCAATCATTTCGATGTTTCCAAATCTCCTAGGTAACTAGAATAATGAGAGGGTTGAGCCCCTACTTGATCACCCTGGGAACTTCTTTGATTGTCTGACCACCAGCTTCAGAATCTGGTTGCACACAGTTGAGCCTAGTCTCTGAAGGATTATGCACCAGACGTGACGGGCAAAGACACAAGTGATCAACATAAGTTGGATTGATTCATCCACCTGGTCACAAAGGGACAAGCAGCCAGATGAGGGAGTCCTCCCTTGGCTAGGTGGTAGGCCGTCCAACAACGATTGTTTATTTAAAGCCAAATGAACCACTGTCTGTGTCTCTGGACCTCGCCAATGTCTGGCCAAGGTGAAACTCAGATCGGGTGGCATGACGGGCAACAGGGTGTTGTGCTACCAGTTCTAAAGAGACACCTTCCATGGACTTCCTGCTTGCCAAAGCCAAGGTAGCCATGACATCATGATATGACGGCTTCATCTTGGGGCCTGGTGCACTGCGACTAGGAGTAGGACTGGCGTCGCACCAGCGCTCTGACTTGGAATGCCCGATTAGCTGGGGCTTGCTGGAAAAGGAGGTGAGGGAGGTAGACGGTGCTTGAGGGTTGGGTTGCCAGTTTAGCAGAGGACATGGCGGAGGAGGTGGCCAGGCCTAGGATTGGTGCCCGTGGGATGCTCTGGGGAGATGAGACGCCATGGAAGAGGACATCCCTACAGTTCAGTGTTCTATCTACACCATACATTGAACTTTTGACTTCATGTTCTTCTAGAGGTGCCTAATAGTACATACTATATTGCGTTTTTGTTTTGTTTTGTTTTTCTTAAATTTCTAAAACTGGGAACAGGGCCATGCCCATTTTCTTGACACTTTAGCTGTTTATTTAGGTAACATTTTGGTGCTGTGGAGCTTCAATTGTTTGATGGATTTTAGGAAAAACCATTTCTAGAAATGTTATGCCTGTGATGTGAATTCTTGGGAAGAGTAGGAAGGCTAGTTCTGGCATTTTTGTTTCTATTCCTTTGATTGGTTTAAGCTACCTATCCTAAATTGATCTCTTGTCATGCTGCAACTCGCTTATCAGGAAGCAAGTCAAAAGCTGTTAAGGAGCTTGATGTTGCTACTTCCAAAGAAGATGGGACAGTAGCATCCACTCTTAATCGTACCAAGCATTGGCTTCTTTCTCACTCTCAACATCTCAACTTCTTCTCTATCTTGATACTTGCTTCGGTTAGTCCCCTGTCAGCCATCCTTTGTTACCAATTTCTTCAGTGTGGACATCTTACAACCGTATTTGTTTTATTAATCATTTTATGGAACATTTCCTGTACAGCAGTTACCATAAGTTTCCTCTAAGAGGATTTTCATTGAATAAAAAAAAATGCCTAATTTTGATGGCCCTTGTTAGGTTCCGAACCCACTCTTTGACCTTGCTGGTATTATGTGTGGCCAATTCGGTGTACCATTCTGGGAGTTCTTGTTTGCAATTTGATTGGGAAGACCATCATCAAGACTCATATTCAGGTGAGGCATCTAACTTTATACATTTATCTTATTTAATAATCGGTAATTGTGTTTATTGTGATTCGTGTGTGCCTTTGTTCTACTTGTTGCCACACTCTTCATTGTTTGGCTGTGCATGCGTGTTCAATCTTTTGGAGAGATTTCCATTGATAGCTAGTGGTCTTTTTTAATGTTTGGTAAGACAGTTCTTTTATTAACTTAATTAGATGAAAATATTCTTCGATGTGGTATTGTTTTATGCTTGTATGTGTTTATTATTGTCCATTTGGATTCAAATTTTTTAGGACTGCATGCCAATCTTTGATTTTTTAGGACATGGACATGTTAGAAAGCTTGGGTATGATTTCAGCACAAAATATCTCAGTGTTTGCATAAATTGATTTGATATATTAGTAGGATGAGTGCCTAGTAAGTCTTGTCCTATTCCTCCCCCCAATTTGTTCTTGAATTCCTTTTTTTTTTACAAGAATTCAACAAAAACTGAACCAGAAAATGAAATAAACCTAATGTGGTTCAGTAATGAAATATAATGTGATGAACTGGATTCGGTTTGATTCTCTAGGTTTATTTGGTATCCATAATTATACCTGAAAAAAATCTGTGAAATTAAATTAATTGTGAAACCTCTCTTGCTAAGGTTTATTATGGTGACTGACTTCCTGAATTTTTGAGTCATTTTAGTTTCTCCATACCTGGTTTAGTGAGTTGTCAGGTGGTTTGACACCAATAGTTGCAGCGCCCCTGCTCCTGATATGCATTTTTCTTCTTTTGCAGACACTTTTTATTGTGTCCTTATGCAACAATCAGCTCCTGTATCTTATGGAAAAGGAGTTAATCTGGATATTTGGCCACATTCCTGGGTTTTCCACGGGGCCACCTCTCAGCGACTTTGAATATGAAGGGGCAGCACCGTTGAGAGAGGAGGAAGGATGCGAAAAACGAGGCGGGAACCGGCAGCTGCCAAAAGAATGTCCAAAACGGAGGCAACGCTTACAGCGGAGGCCCGATGAGCATTGGGCTCTAGAATGGGCCGAGGAAAGATATCTGGAGCAGAAAGGGGGGCTGTGAAGGCGGCTGTAATTGGCCAGAGGGGCATTAAACATTTCAAATTAACTGGCGCTGGGCCAAGAATGCCTTCCGTTGATAACTGCCCTCGAATTGAAGTGCCCTTTAAGGCTGGGCCAAAACTGAGGCGCGAGAAGACCGGGTGGCGAGCTGGATTTCCGGACGTTTGAAAATTCAAATTTGAATTAGCAACGGAGCGCCGTTGCTGAGAACAATCACCGGCAACCGGAGTGGCATTGGCTCCGGTGAGGATAGCAGGGCGCTTGGCCACTGAAACCCTTTCAGCATCCTGCTCAGCTTTCCAATTACGAAATTCCAAACGATAGTATAGATATGAAAACCCACAGGTTGGGAGCACACAGAGAAACGGAAGACACGATCAGCTAGCTGAAGAACATGAAAAGCATTTGGAGTACCTCCGATCACAGCTTGAAGGATGTGAGCCACAGCTTGAGGAGTCAGCAAGATAATGTTTAAAAGGCATGAATGGATCCATCCATGGATGGTTAAAAGGCAGGCACACATAGATAGTTGAGCAATTCAAAATACCTTATAATTCAGGATAATTTTTGAACCATAGTCACATAAAACGGGTCTTAAGGCATCGACTGTTGACCTGACTCAGGGGTATGCGGGGTCATTTTTTATGCCGCAATGTAAAAATCTCTTGCAAGTAGGGTACCACACTACCACGTTCCTCTACCCAGTCGACCTGGAAACTATGTGACTATGTTTTGAACCTTTGAAACCTTGTATTTCTTTCAGGACGGAGGGAGTACCTTGACTGGAACAAAGAAAACCATGACGATGACTACATGATAAAAAGTCTGCAACATCGTAACACTAAGTGTGGAGGTCCAAGATGGCCCTGCCTACATTTTGCAGTCTCATGTGCAAGTTGTTCATATATGAATCTACGCTGTTTGATTACTAGCCTTGATTTTGAAGCCTCATATTGTCTGGTTAAAACTTACCTGCATAATAGATAAAACCAAACCTTCTTTTAGCATTCACAAAATAGAAAACATATACCAGCTTCTAAATTCCAGTTCACATGAATCATACAAATTGTATGTAAAGAATTTTGGACTGTGCCTTCGCATTATGTGTTATTCATCTCAAGAATATTTGGTGCTATGTTGTCTAAATAAAGCAATGCCCAGTGGTGCCTTAAAACAAAAGCATATGAAAAACAGGAACAAAATTAAGAAAACACATTAATGTGAGAATGTTAATGTATTTTCCATCTATGGATGGTTGTGGCACATAGTAACACGTACGGCACAACACAGACGACGTATTTAATCATTGTCTGAAACAAGGCAAAGATATATGAATCTGTGTTTACAGATAGGAGCGGCTGCTTTTATATATTGGGCAGACAACTGCCAACCAAAATAATTGATATATTGGTCTCATCAAGGGGACACACAAGCTATGATTCTGGGTGCAGCTACAGTGCAATGATGATCAAAAGGAGCTTTCATTCCAAGCATGCCTTGTTCGCTTGGCTTATAAGTCGCATTTTTTTCAGTCAGGTGAATAGTATTTTTCTCTCACAACAAATCAGTCAACAAGATACTTTGGGTCATGGCTTATCAGCCAAGCGAACGGCAATGCAGTGTTTCATGTCCTATAGATGGCCTTTTAAGTTTTGAAATAGTGTTTGATCAAACTTCTTAGTGTGGCCTGTGTGTTTCCTGTTCCGGGCCATCTCCTGTTGATTAGTTTTAAAAGTCATAGCTGACTTTATTATGGCCTTGTCTAATTGTCTCATCCCCAAACAAAACACATCCTACTTTTTCTGTAGCTCGCTATTTTCTAGCAGTAAGATACACCCTAGTTAGTAATAACATGGCTTCCATATATACATCCTACTTTTTCTGTAGCTAGCTATTTTCTAGCAGTATGCTTCCATATAGTGAGTTGTCATCTCTTGACCTCTTCGTATAGGGTTCACTGGCTTAGTTCATTCTCGATGATGTACATTATTGGGGGCTCGTATCCTCTAAAGTGTAAGGTTAAACAGACACTACAATGAAATAATTAGCTCTGTTGGAGATGACCAAAGAACTGGTCAGTGGAAATAATTAGAACCAAATAAATAGGGCCGATAGTATAGTAATACAGAACATACCACTTTGACGTGACTAATCTTCATCTTGTTTTCAGGTAATTCGCACCAATGCTCTAATGCGGGGCAACCACAAATGGTTAGTCTTTCAAGATTGACGAGTTGTTGCATGCTTTTCGGCAAGGACACTATGCCCTCACAGAAACAAATCTCCAGATTGTTCAGAGACACAAGATCACCTAACGATTCTGGCAGTGCTCGAATGTCCGGGCAACCATACAAAGACATTGACTGAAGAGAGCTCAGGGGTCGCATGCTCACTAGCAATTTATTCAGGCTTCGGCACCCCTTGATCTTCAATGTTTGGAGAGAGGTGAGGTCTACAAGCCATTCCGGTAGTGATGTCATGCTCATGCTACCACAAGAGTTCAGGGTAAGTTCTCGGAGGGAACCAAGGACTTGAATGATCTCTGACGAGCAACTTAGATCACCACAATACTCGAGAACTAACTCACTGAGCCCATGAAGGTGGTGAAGCAACTTCCAGTGATGCATAGGAGCCCTGCAGGATGTGACCCTCAAGCATTGTACCAAAGCAAGGGAGGAGTTGCGAGAAGTCTCTTCCCATTGCAGCAGGACACCATTGCTATCTATTATGTGCCAGGTTCCATTTACTCTTGGCGGACATGGGTTCAACTTCAACTTGCGGCATCGACATATCCTTAGGAACTTGAGGTTGGGGAACATGAACTGATCATCCGCAACATCCTCACCATCACCATAGGAATTCACCGTACTCCACTCTTCTAGGCTTTCCATATTGTATATGAAAATTTCCTCCAATCGAGCGAATGCGTTTACGCCACCACAAAAGCCTCTGTCAATCTTCAAAATGCTGTGCATTGCTGTGAGATTAACATGTTTTAAATTCGGTAACTGGCCAAGTGGTGGTAGGCTACTGCAGTGGGACAAGCCATCCAACTTGACTCTGACAAGATTAGGGAGATAAATAGCAATGTCCATTAACCATGTAGGAAAGCTGACACTGTTGTAACCTCTTAGCTCAAACTCTTCTAAACTGCTTGGTGGCTCGAACTCTCTCAATAATTCCATGTCCTCCACAAATCTTTCCTTTTCACCTGTCCAATAAAGTCTCAGTATTACCATACTTAGTTTGTCCTTCAATTTTATTTTCTGTGCCTCTTCTACGGACCTTACATTTTCAAGGGCACTTATCTCCAACTCAGGAGGAGTGACATCTTTAAGGAGAAGAAGATTGCTGCTTTGTTGACCTTCAGCAACATGTACCATATAGTTTGGCAACCAGATCCAAGCAGGGTTCAAAATTTCAGCGAAATTTCGGCCGAATTTTATGAAATTCGGTAATTTCGGTGGTGGTCGAAAGAAAACTCCGAAATTTTTTAATACACTAATATATGTGCTATATAACTCTAATCTTATATTTTTCTATTGTTTATATTGCATATTCTTCTATTTAATAGATATGTAGTCATAAATCATACTAATATTTGTTTAGATCCAAATTTTTTTTGAAAAAACATACTTCAGGTGCTAATCTCTAAAAAAAAATTGGCGAAATTTCGGCCGAATTTCGTGAAATTCGGTAATTTCTGTGGTGGGCGAAATTTTGGCGATACCGAAATAAAAAACCTTGGATCCAAGTGTTGATTCGCACGGTGGATATGTCCAGCCGCAGACAGTCCTGGGTAATGATGATACATTTCAGGCTCTCCATGTCACCTATGTTTTCGGGTACGCTTTCCAGATTACGGCAGCAACTGAGGTCCAGGGTATGTAGCTTTCGGAGGCCACAAATTTTGTCAGGTATAGTATAAAGAGTAAGATTATGAGACAAATCTAGATGTTCTAGATTTGAAAGGGCGCTGATAATGTCAAGGAAACCACCAGTGTTATCTGAGACTTCTCCACCTTCTGCTTCCTTTGTTTGAGGGTTACAAGTACAGTCTACACACCCTGATAAATTCAAATACCGGAGTTCAGTGAGTTCTCTGGTTACTTCCGACAGCCCTTGGAGAGTTGGCTGGTAATGTGCATAACTTCTCCTTGATAAATTCAAATATTGGAGTTTGGTAAGACCACGCAAGGCATCTGGTATACGATTTACCTGATAGCAATCAGATAAATCCAAATGAACCAAATTTCTAAGCTGTCCAAATGACCTAGGTAATTCTTCCAACTGTTTACAACCTGATAGGTTTAAATAGTTGAGTTCAGTGAAGCTCCCCAAAGCTTCAGGGAGCCTTTCCAGAAATGAGCACTCTGCTGATGATAGTGATAGGTTCAAATATAACAAAATATGAGCTGCATGATAAGTTCAAGTATTGCAATCTTGTCAAGCTACTTAAAGCTACTGGCGCCACTCCAATGTTTTTGCAGTATGATAAGTTCAAATACTGCAGATTAGTGAGGTTCTCCAAATATTTTGATACACCTTTAACATGAGAGCATTTCGAAAAATCAAGATGCACCAAGTTTCTAAGCTTCCCAAATGATTCTGGCAGTTCTCTAATTTCTGAACAAGCTGACAAATCCAGATACATTAGATCATTCAATTCTCCTATTGACTCTGGCAGTGCTGCAACCGTAGAAGATAAACCGTAGAAGATCCACAGAGGTTGAGGTAAATTAGTTTTGAGAGCTTGGTGATACTACTGGGAATCACTGCATCTTTGATGCCTGGAGCATTGAGATACCTCAATAGCTTTAGTTGACCAATAGAAGGCGGCAAGTTCTGTATGGAACATTCTCCAAAATCCAAGACTCGCAGGTACTTAGCAGTTGAAATTTCAGCTGCATCACGCTCAATTTTGACACTTTCCAGAAAACGAATGGCTCTAATGTTGTCATGACAAGTTTCAAAAAAATTCAATGGCTTCCTGCAATCTGCAAGTAGCGCATAACGGTAGTTGCCCCACTCAATATTGCACTCTCTGCCACCATCAAGAACTTCATCCCTCATGATCGATCTTGCAAGGTCATGCATCGTCAATAATGTAGCATTTTCGCCGAGTTGCCCATAAGACTGCAACAAAAGCAGCTTTGTCTTGTTAGTTGTTAGTTTACTCACCATAGCCAATTATGTTAAAAGGGCTCATTTTACAAGTAAAATGAAAAGATAACTTTTCGATAGTAGAGGTATGCCGCAAATAGTAACTCACCGAAGGGGATCTTGAATGTTGCAAGAATGACATCCCTGATAGTTTCATAATGCAGCTCTCGCCATGCAGCCAGGTGGACACTTCACTAGACGGTTTAATAAAACCAAGAGCAGCCCATTGATAAATGAGGTCATCTTTAGTCATCTTGTGGCCCCTAGGAAAGATTGCACAATAAGCAAAGCAAAGCCTTTGGAATGGCGGCATACTTATGTAGCTTAATTTCAAGGATGCAAGAACATTGTCATATGGCGAAGGTGTATATCCTGTCGCAGAAGCATTCCATATTCCATTGTCTTTTACAGAAACCCATCCAAAAAAATTCCTGGATCTCAGCATGTACCCAAGAGCTCGAGCTGTTAGTGCCACACCTCCACACTTCATTGCAATCTCCTTTCCTATATCTTCTAACCTTCCTCTGTCTGCTCTTCCTTCAAATCCAACAATCTGTTTAATTATCGTCCAGCATACATCAGATGACAGAGGTTCTATGGGGTATGCTTCGGTCGTTTGAATTTTCCGAGCAATATCGATCAGCATCTCGTGTGGTTACAATGACATGCACTTTGTATCCATTCAAAACCCTTTTCAGGGTATGCTTTAGATCATCAACCTTAAAGTCATCGTTCTCCCACAAGTCATCCAAAACGATCAGAATCTTCTTAGGAAGTGGTGGATCAGCATCTGGCTCTTGCATGTCGGTTAGCTGCCTCTGATCCTTCTGAAGTTGTGATCTTATAGTGTCATCAATTTTTTTCAAATCAAATATTTGGGAAACATATACCCATGCTTTCTCATAGTCCTTGAAATACTTATCATTGAAAAGCAGTTGTGCTAACGTTGTCTTCCCAATACCTCCAATGCCGTATATAGGAAGGATAATGAACTCTGATGAGGTGCTGGCTCTAGTTAAAAGTGCTATTACTCTCCGTTTCTCTTGATCCCTTCCCAGGATATCTGCTTCTACCACCTCTGACTTTGTTTCACGTTCATCAATAACTTGCTGTGCATACGAGCTGTTGCCTGCCGTAAAACTGAATTCGTGCCGTTGCTTTGAGATATTCTCCAGTTTCTCCCTAACCTTCTTCATCTTAGCAGCCATACCAATCTCAGAAGCAAGTGTGAGAAAGGGATTTAGAACTTTGAACTGAAAGAAAAAAAATGTTCTGTTAGTATATTTGAAACTGAAGTAATACGATACGAACAAACATCCATCCATCCATCAGCACGGCAGCACCTACCTATAGTCCTCGCATGATCGTACGTACCTGAATGCGAGATGCAGGGCCGTCTCAGGAAAATTTGAGGCCCAGGTGCAAAATGAAAAATAGGACCCTAGAATTAGATCAATATTTCACTGCTACAAAATCGTTAGTAGCAACAGGAGGTTTTTTTATATAGGCGGCTCATTTTCTAGCCATGCCTAAGCCACCTCTGCAAATACCACTAGTTTTAGAGGTGACTATTTCCATACTACGCAGTAAATTTTAATTTTTTAAATGATCTTAGATGGAGAAACGATCCAAACAAAAGTTGTAGATCTTGAAAAGTTATGCAACTTTGTAGTTGACAACTTTTTCATTTGAAATCATCCATGTATGAAAAATTACGTTTGAGTTTCTCACATTTAAAATTTAAACTTTTCAATGACCTCAAATGGATAAATAAACGACCAAACAATAGTTGTACATTTCGAAAAGTTATGCAATTTTATAGTTGACAATTTTTTTATCTGAAATCATCTATGCATGGAAAATCTACGTTTGAGTTTCTTGCATTTGAAATTCGAATTTTTCAAATAATCTTAGAAGGAGAAACGACTAAAACAAAAGTTGTAGATCTCGAAAAGTTATGCAACTTCATAGTTGACAACTTTTTACTTGAAATCATCTATACATGAAAAATCTAGGTTTGAATTTCTCACAGTTGAAATTCAAATATTTCAAACGAACTCAGACGGAGAAAAGACCAAAACCAAAGTTATAGATCCCAAAGATAAAACTATGTAGTTGATAATTTTTTTTCATTTGAATTCGTTTAGAGTATCAAATACTTATTTAAAATTTGAATAAAAATAAAATAAGGAGGACGAATATCCTAAATGGACACAAGTGTATTATAAAGTAAAGATACTCATTTGAATTCGTTTTGGCTTTTTAGAAGCAAAAGAAGCTCCCAAAAACCCAACCGAAGGCATGTTATAGAGAGTCTCTCGGAGTTGCTCTTAGATTGATTCGGTTTCCAATGATGGTTTCCTAATGGCGTCGTGACTATGGAAACTCGTTGGTAGTTTTGAACTGTCTTTAGCGGTGATAAAAATTCCTCAAATTCTATAAGAGATAAGTAGGAGTATGTGTTCAAGAGCAACGTGGGACTCCGTGCTCTCGTCGCTCTACAGATCTACCTCCTTCCCTGTATAGCTGCATGCAGGTTCTCTAACAATAAAGATCCCTTCAGCAGTTTTTTTTTTTCTTCTTGGCTCTACAAGTAGCTCTACACGGTAGAGCTAAAGCTATTTTAATGAATCATTTGACAAAACAGTTCAACATATAGAGCTCCTCAAAATATACTCGTGAGAATCCAACGAGGGGCCTACACGAGAGAGTTGAAGCTAGGAGAAGCAGTTTTTCGGCTCCATCCCACATCAATCCCTTGTGAGAGCACGTTTGAAAGAGTTTCAAACGTGTGAAGCTGTTTCAAAAATACTTGTTTGGCATGTAGAAAACAATTTCAAACAGCTCGTGAAAACTGTTGGAGAAGCTATGATAAATAGAACCTTACTTCCGTAGAGTGAGACGACACAAATACAGGCGGGCTCTCCTAACGAGAAGCACTTAGACCAAAATTTGACATGCAACTATGTTTTTTTTTAAAAGAAAATACGACACCGAAGGGAGTATTGATCTGATGAATTAGTGATTGAATGAATCAGGTGCATGCGTACCTTCCATAAAGCCGATTTCCTGCTAGTATTGACCTCGAATTCATCAAACATGTCGGATATGCTGTAGGAGGCTGTGGTGAGGCGCTTGAGCCACACCCGCACCGACGCTTCACTGATGGAGCGCCTCTCCGCGTCGTCGAGCACCGCCTCGATTGATTCCATCATGTCCCTCAGGTCGTCGTCGAATCTCCACTGCAGCATGACCCGATCTGCAGCGGCGGCTGACACCTTTCCGGCCGCCGCCTTGAGGACGGCAGCGGCGAGCATCCCTCCGATTTCCGCCATGGCTAGCTGTTGAACTCCCACGTCTTCCGCTTCTACCGAATTCGTCACCTAGCTTCGATGGACAAGGCAAAGGGTGGGTGAGTCAACTGCGTGTGATGCATCGCAGGTTGTTGTCGTGCCCCCTTCTTGTAGTTGTACGTCGTCGTCGTCATAGTATGATATTAGTATTAATTTTTCATTTGTTTATTGCACCATAGTGCTTAGCTGTGCTTAGATGGTGACAATATATTTATTTACAGTGCTTATTATAATTTATCATTGGCTGATAGGTCGAAGGCCAGGTTGTTGTCGTGCCCCCTTCTTGTTGTTGTACGTCGTCGTCGTCATAGTATGATACTAGTATTAATTTTTCATTTGTTTATTGCATCATAGTGCTTAGCTGTGCTTAGATGGTGACAATATATTTATTTACAGTGCTTATTATAATTTATCATTGGCTGATAGGTCGAAGGTCAGGTTGTTGTCGTGCCCCCTTCTTGTTGTTGTACGTCGTCGTCGTCATAGTATGATATTAGTATTAATTTTTCATTTGTTTATTGCATCATAGTGCTTAGCTGTGCTTAGATGGTGACAATATATTTATTTACAGTGCTTATTATAATTTATCATTGGCTGATAGGTCGAAGGTCAGGTTGTTGTCGTGCCCCCTTCTTGTTGTTGTACGTCGTCGTCGTCATAGTATGATATTAGTATTAATTTTTCATTTGTTTATTGCATCATAGTGCTTAGCTGTGCTTAGATGATGACAATATATTTATTTACAGTGCTTATTATAATTTATCATTGGCTGATAGGTCGAAGGTCAGGTTGTTGTCGTGCCCCCTTCTTGTTGTTGTACGTCGTCGTCGTCATAGTATGATATTAGTATTAATTTTTCATTTGTTTATTGCATCATAGTGCTTAGCTGTGCTTAGATGGTGACAATATATTTATTTACAGTGCTTATTATAATTTATCATTGGCTGATAGGTCGAAGGCTGCTACAGCCCTGCACGTTATTTGATTGTCAACGCGGACGGCACACGTAGTTTTTTGAGTTAAATGCACGAGGGGTCCCTGAACTTGTCAAGGGTGTCACTTAGGTCCACGAACTTGAAAAATACATTTCTGTGACACTGAACTTGATAAGTGCTGCACCATAGGTCCATATCGGACACATGGACAATTTATCCAACGTGGCATTGCCACTGTGGCGCTGACTATGTCTAGCACTTTGCATTTAACCCCTTATCTTTTTTATTTCTTTTTTCTCTCCCTCTTCTTTCTTCTCTGTGAGACTCAAACCTGCCGATGCAATTGGTCGTCACTGCCGTAGCCATTCACCGTCGCATCCATTCTCTGTGAGCACCTCGGGGTCACGGCAGATCCTGGCCGTCGCCTCCGTGGGCAGCATCACCACCACGTCCCGTGCCTTGCCGCCCTCGGCCGCGGGCAGGACGAGCACCAGCCCCTCGCCGGCGGCCCTGCCCACGCGGCATCGACGCGCGCGTTGGGGGCACCCCGGCCTCGAACTCCGCACCGTATATGAGCACGTGGTCCAGTGCCGCGCACATCAGCACGCCCTCCTGCTGCTGCTGTCGCGCGTGGAGCCACTCCAGGGCACTCCACAGCTTGTCCTTCGGCACGCCGGCGACGTGGCGGTCCAGCGCCGCGGCCACGGCCGGCAGCCTGGACACGAGGTCGGCGCGCGCGTGTGCCAAGTGGGAGCTGCCGTAGTAGCCCAACAGCAGCGGCGCGTACATCCGCTTGCGGAAGTCTAGCGCCAGCGTGACAATCCGCTCCTTGTCGGCGGTACCGGTGATCCAGAGCCAGAAGAGCGCGGCGGGCGCCGCGAACGGGGTGAATAGATCCTTCCTCCTCTTCCAACATACTCCGTCCTCTACCCAGCTGTAGCCGCCGTCGCAGGTGTGTTCGTCCTCGTCATCCTCGCTCCATCGGTGGCCAAGGAGAGGGCGAACGCCGAGTTCATCTTCACCCACATGAACACCAACAACGGCATGGGCATCCATAGCAAGGCCTACATCCTCGCCGTCGGGCTGCTCATGAGCCAGTACTCCAGCATCGGCTACGACACCTCTGCTCACATGGTGAACTGAACACACGCCGCCGTCGTGGAGTGCCGCCGGCTGGCTGGCCGTCCACCACACGTTCATCTTTGTTCTCTGATGACCATCTGAACTGAACGAGCACGATCGCATGCAGACGGAGGAGACAAAGAAGGCGGACTGGAACGGGCCGATGGGGATCGTCTACTCGGTCTCTCTGTCCAGCGTGTTCGGATGGATCTACCTGCTGGCTCTCATGTCGGTGGTGACCGACATCCCGTACCTGCTGGACACTGGCAACGACGCCGGCGGGTACGCCATTGCTCAGGCCCTGTACGCCACCTTCCACCGGAGGTACGACACCGGCGCCGACGGCATCGCCTGCTTGGTCATCATCGTCGTCGCCGTCTTCCTCTGCGGCACCGCCTGCGTCACCAGCAACTCCAGGATGGGCTATGCCTTCTCCAGGGATGGGGTGATGCCGTTCTCGCATGTCCTGTATGCCACTTCAACGTCGTCTGGCTCTCCATGTCCGTGGCGTTTGTCATGGCCCTCACGGTGTGCATGCGCTCTCATCTCTCAACTTCTCAAGTACGTGTCTGCCATGCATGTGACCGTGTGATTTCTCTTCATTCCTGATCGACACGTACAGTCGCTGGGGAGCCAGGTGGCGTTCCAGGCCATGGTGTCCATCGCGACGCTGGGTCTATACATCGCCTACGCGCTGCCCATCTTGTTCCATGTGACGACGGCGAGGAGGTCGTTCGTGCCAGGGTCGTTCCACCTCGGGAGATTCGGCGTCGCCGTCGGCTCGGTGGGCGTGCTCTAGGTGGCCCTCGTCACCGTGCTCTTCTGCCTGCCGGTGGCGTACCCCGTCACCAAGGAGACATTGAACTACACGTTGGTGGCCGTCGGCGGCGTGCTGGTGCTCAGCCTCGCCGCGTGGGTGCTCCACGCCCGGTTCTGGTTTCGAGGGCCTATCACAAACGTCCTCCTCTTCCAACATACTCCGTCCTCTACCCAGCCGCAGCCGCCGCTGCAGTACCACCCTGCGTGCTTCTTCCAGCCCCATCGTCATCGTCTGGGTCGGGGAGGCGGGCGGTGGAGCACGAGCGGTGGCCGCGGAGTCCGGCGTGGTCGCGCCCGCCGTCGGACAGCGGCGGACGTCGCAGGCGCAGGAGCAGCTCCTCCTCGTGCCGCATCGGCGCCACCACAGTCGTCCACCGTCGCACTCGGAGGTGAGGTGTCACGTCGCGGCCGGCCGGCCGGACGCCGACGACGGAGCGCCCGTGCCCGCCCCCGTCCCCACTCCGAGCTCCAGCAGCGCCTTGACGACGTCGCGGCCACAGTGCTGGACGGCGTAGTGCATGGCGAGCACGTCATCGAGGTCCAGCCCTTCGCCCATGACCATCAGCTTGACGAGCTCGAGGTCGGCCGCGTCCAGCGCGCGCTTCATGCGCCGGATCCTGTGGTCGCGGTTGGCCGCTGAGGACGCCGCGTTGATGGGGAGGCAGTGGTGGGTGAGGAACGGTGACTGGACAGGCACTCGAATGCAGCAGCAACCACGCCACTGCCCGCGGGGCCGCAATCACCTGATCCACGAGTGCTCCCTGGTATGCTGCTGCATACCGTGTGCGGTGGAGGAGCGTGTCGTCCACGCGCCCATGCGCGTGCCCGTCATGCTGTAAAAGAAGAAATAAGTGTGAGGGGTTAGATGTAAAAGAAGATGCCACGCTCTCATGCCACATCAGCAAGAAATCGCTGACGGAGTAGTATGGACCTATGGTGCACTAGATAACAAGTTAGGTGACTTATAAATGTATTTTTCAAATTTATGGACCTAAGTGGTACACCATGACAAGTTTATAGGCCCCTGGTGTATTTAACTCTAGTTTTTTTATATGTACTCTCAGTTCTAGGCAAGTCACGTACTTTTTTATATACTCTCGGTTCTAGATTGTAAATCGTAATTTATCTAGACAGAGCGTAAATCTAGTTACATAACAAAAACCTATATACCTAAGTTATACCAACTTACAAATTTAGAATGGAGTAAATATATATACTAGAATATAATATATGTACGTTCAACCAAGAGAGAAACAACCATCAAACGGTTGTAAAAAACGACGGGAACGATACATGCATGCATTTTTATATTTTATTATCCTTTCTATAAAATTAAAAGCTAGAGTTTATTTTATAATGACTATGACATCCACATAATACAAATTAATATTTTTTTTGAGGGCTCAGTGGGAGAATCCCCCACCTATTTTTTTGTATTAATAAATATGAAAGTAGTACAGGTGCACAAGGAGTGCAAAAAGAGCTTTCAAGCTCAAAAAAGAAAAGAACAACACTAATGTAAATTCTCCATATAATACATGTTGAGGGAACCTTCTGCGAGGTTCGACTTGGCCTTGATACAAATCAAGCCAATTTCTTCTCTAAACCGAGCTTTCCGGTTGTTCATGATGCAGGGCTTGTTATCGAAAATAAGTCCATTTCTCGAAGTCCAGATAGCCCAGCAGGTTATGATGACAATCTCTCTGAAGATGGGGCTCTCAAATGCAGTTCTTGCTTCTATGATCATATCCAGAGGAGGAAGGTTCATGTTCCAGTTAATACCAAGATAGGTCCAGCAGTCCAGGCTGAATGGACGTTCAAAGAAAAGATGCATGCAGGTTTCCTCATTTCCCAAATTACATATAGCACAAGAGTATCCTCCAAAAAATTGTTTTTCCTTCATAGCAGATTTCTATTTCTGGTATTCAAACGGTCCTTGAGCAGGAGCCAAAAAAAAATAAGAACTTGTGCTTTCCTAAGCTGCCGGCTGTCCAAAGCCAAAAAAAAAGGGGAGATGCTTCCTGAGTACCATGTAAAAATTTATATGCTTTCTTTGAACTGAATTTTGAGGAGTTCCACATGTACTCCCATCTGTCCCATGCCTCTTGATCTCCAGTACCTTGCTGTAGAATATTTTGAAGAGCTTCTAGTTCTTCAGATGCCTGAACTAAAAGGGGTAGGACAAAGTTTCTATTACCTCACTATCCAGAACGAATCTTAGAGAGCACTTCTGTTGTTTAGCAAAGGAGAATTGTCGATGGTGTAAACAAGAATAAATGAGGGAAGCTGTCACTGATGCAGGGGTCCCTCCAGTTGTCTTTCCAGAACAAAATAGAATTACCAAGATTTGGTTTGCAGACTGCCATAGAGCTGAAGTCAGAGAGGAGTTTAAGTACATCTTTCCACCAGAATGAACCCACAGGACATCTTGCATGTGGTGGAGTGTTGTTGTTGGCATAGAACTTTTCCCAAGTTAGCCTAACCCAGGGTATCTCAGCATGGTTATAGAATTTGTCTAGGTATTTCAGCAGGAGGGCTTTGTTTTGAGTTTTCAAATCAATGATGCCAGGTCCACCTTCATTCTTGGGTCTACATGCTAGTCCCCAAAGCTGCCAGACAGGTTCCCCTCCTATTGATATCTCCTCCACTCCAGAGGCAATGCTTTTTGTACCTGTCAATCTGTTTGATAACTTGTGGAGGAAGCAAAACACTGCACATGTAAAATGGTTGAACCATCTGCACCCCTAAGTAAGGAATTATGTAACATATGTTTTGAACTAGATCAATGTAAGGTGAACCATCTGGTCTTCTATGTATACATGGAAGTACGTAATGTATCTTTTGAACTGAATCAACGGAGCTTACCATACATTAAGTGATAAATAAGGCTATTTGTTAACTGTTGCATACATAGTATTCATTCCAGATTGTGGCCAAAGCATCCATAACATGTTTTGGTGCTAGACAATTACACCCATGGCATAGTTTGGTCCATAGTAAGGGACCAAAGCATCCACCATTGTTTTATTAATTGGTGCTATGTGTTCATATCATTATAGATGTTGTTGCCCATCATCCACAAAAGTGACCAAAAGCCATGTGTTTGGGGCCATCTTATCCAACCAATGATATCCATCTACATTGATTGTCTTCATCTTGTTCATATGGTAGTTCCATTTGACAACAGTAGAAGCCCGGCCCCTTGCAAATGCCCATAATTGGTTTTTTTTAATATTTCTCCTTTGAAGCCATCATCTCTGAAGTTGGCCCGGAAACGACTAACACAAAACCTGTGCTCAGATTCTGGAAAAACATCTTGAATAGCAGGAAATTTTTTTTTTGAAAGCGTGCGCCGCACGTGCTTCATTAAGAGAAGAAAGAGCTTTCGTTACATAATGGTTGCACACCACGGCGAGTTGCCATGATATACAAACCACTCACACTAACATGGATCGCCGGCTTTAACGGCGGTGCTAAACCGTTGTACTAAACGTTTAAACAAATGTTGCGACCGAAGGAGGTGGGTGCGCGCTCTAACCGCCAGCCATGATGAAGAACTACGCCAGACACCTGTACCCGGCGCCGATGCAGGCGTCCAGCTCTTCGGTGACCACGGCGAGCAAGCACCTGTGTGGTCGTCTTGGCAACGTTGCTAAAGGTCCTGCTGTTCCGTTCTTTCCAGATGATCCAGGCGACTAGGAGAACGAGTGAGTCGAAGGCCCGTCTGAAGGTTCCTGGGACTTCGTCGCGTGTCAGCAGCCACCAGTCGGCGAGTGTGGAGTCGTTGCCCGGTGCAAGGTGCTGGTGCCCCGCCGAGGCGAGCAGGCGTGCCCAGACCTCGCGCGTGAACGGGCAAGAGGCCAGCAGGTGGTCGGTCGTCTCGCCATCTTGATCACAGAGCGCGCACGTAGCTTCTGGCTGCAGTCCATGTCGTTTGCGACGGTCCGCTGTCCAGAGGCGAACATGCAGAGCGAGCCAAAAAAAAGAACTTGACCTTTGGCGGCACGGCCGCCCTCCAAACGAACTTGGCGCCCGGCAGAGAAGTCATACCGATGAAGAACGCCCTGTACGCCGACGACGCGTTGTAGGTGCCGCTGGCAGTCCACTTCCAGATGAAGCGTTCGGAGGTGTGCGGTGATAGCTGGAACGTCTCCAGGGTGTCCCAAAGATGGATATACTCGCACAGTACCGCAGCGGTGGGCGCGCCAGTGATGTCCCTGGTCCATTGCCGGCCGTCGAGGGCGTCCTTGACGGTGCGGTTGCGACGGCGGCATGCTACTGCCCTGAAAAGGTATCTGGCAGCGTCGCCAGTATCGCTGACAGGGTAGTTTGCGTCAGCGTCGCCCTGCCCGCGTTCGTCAAAAGGCCCGCCTTCCAGGTCGGGATTCTGGCAGAGACGTTATCGATGAGTGTCAACTCGTGCGCGCGGCAAAGTTTGGTGAGTGACAATGGAGCCCCCAGGTACTTGGTTGGGAACTCCTGGACTCTGCACGGGAACACCGATAGCACCTCCCCTCTGAACAGCGGATCGGCGTGATTGTGCACTTGTCCAAGTTGGTCGTCAGGCCGGAGGCCCCGGCGAAGAGCTCCAGTATCTGCCTGACGCAAATGAAGTCCTGAGTTGATGGTGCGAGGAAGACTACGAGGTCATCCGCATACACAGAGGCTCGGTGCTTGATTGCGTTGCCAGGTAGCTGCGCAAGCTCCCCGCGACGGTCGGCCTCTGAGATGAGGGCGTTGAGCACATCCATCACAATGACGAAGAGGAGAGGAGAGAGTGGGTCACCCTGACGCAGACCGCGTGGGTGGCAGATGCGTCGTCCAGGGCGGCCATTGACGAGCACCTTGGTGCTGGCTGAGCCCAACAACGCCGACAGCCAGTCGCGCCACCGTAGCGGGAAACCGATGTGCTCTAGGACTTCGAGGAGGAAAGGCCAGGCCAAGGGTTTGAATAGCAGGAATCAAACCCTGCACAAATTTATTACACATCGAGGTTAGCATTAACAACATCATCATGTTAGTTACAGCAATACAATCAGGAATGCCAAGGATAAGTGTGATTCACCTTCTGTTTGTCTGTCATGAGAGTCCTAGGATACGTGTTGATGATTCCCAAACAGAGCATGTAGGGTGTAACCAAATAAAGCTCTTAGTGCACGGACGGGCCCCCATATCTTAATTCATATGAACAATAGCATGTTGGAAAACTGACTATCACTTCCGAGCTAGCATACACTACCGGAGACTGTGTATTTACCGAGTGCTCCGAAAATTACCGAGTGTGAAAAGTCGGGGCACTCGGAAAACATTATTTACCGAGTGCCAACACTCGGAAAACATAAACACCCGGTAATAAACCTCTTTACCGAGTCAGCACACTCGGTATATTCAGACACTCGGTAAAACTACAAGTTTACCGACGGGGTGCACTCGGTAAAAATGGTCACTCGGTATTAACGTGCCACGTCAATTAGGACAGCAACGTGACGTGACTGACGGCGTCTGGGCATGACATGTTTACCGAAAGTGTTATGATCATACACTCGGCAAACATGAAACTTTTGCAGTGTTGGGCCAATACACTCGGTAAACACTATATTTTACCGAGTGTATTGGCCCAACACTCGGTAAAATTCAACC